CCTGCTGGGCTCCGGCGATCCTTCCGCCTCGGCCTTCCAAGCAGCTGGAACTACAGGCACAGGCCACCACACCCGACTAATTTTTTATTTCAAAGTACTGGGATTATAGGCGTGAGCCACCATGCCTGTTAACAAAAAGTTTTTTAAAATTTTGTCCGGGCTCAGTGGCTCAACCTGTAATCCCGGCACTTTGGGAGGCTGAGGCGAGTGGATTGCTTGAGCCCATGGGTTCCAGACCAGCCTGGGCAACTCGACAAAACCTCGACTCTATCATAAATCAAAAATTAAGCCGGGCCCAGTGGCTCAGCCTGTAATCCTGCGCTTTGGGAGCCTGAGATGAGTGGATTGCCCGAGTCCGCGGGTTCGAGACCCGCCTGGGCAACTTGGCGAGACCTCATCTCTACAACAAATCTAAAGCTTAGCCGGGCGTGGTAGCAGCGCGCGCCTGTAGTTCCAGCTACTTGGAAGGCTGAGGCGGAAGGATCGCCGGAGCCCGGCAGGTCGAGGCTGCAATGGCTGGGAGCGGCCACTGCACTCCAGTCTGGGTGAGGGAGTGAGACTCCCACTCAAAAAAAAAAAAAAATGAGCTTCCCCTTATCATCTCCTATGCTCTCCCAGTAAGTAGCTTCAGGGGATTCTTGACTTCCCTGTAGACTGTGCCCAATCAACTGAAAGACGCAAATCCCCATTTGCTCCCTTTTTCTGAGTGGTTGCAAGTTTAAATAATATAGTATCAATGTAATGTGATTTGTATAACTTTTGGGTAATGCGTGATGTCTTAGGTCCTGTAAACTCCCTTTACTCTATGGCAAGCTTGATTAACGCTTCTGCTGGGGCCCTACGGACAAAAGCTGTGAGATACCTCTGATACCGGGCACCAGGAAGTCTGGACCGAGAACCATCGCTGTCGATAAATGCAGCTGAAACTGAAGTTTCGACAGTGCTCTGGTGGTCACGTGGCTAATGTCTAGGCACTAACAACTCAGGACTTATGCGCAGACGGTCTGAGTCCCCATTTCCTGACTCACGGCTCCTAAGACCCTTGGAATCTCGGGCGATGAGAGTGCCTCGTATATGCTAATGAGACGACCGCAGGCTGGGGCGCTTGGGTGGCTTCAGATGGGGACTGGCGGCCTGAGGGCGGAGACGCGAGGGTGGGGACCTCAGCCCCACCTTCCAGCTCTTGGTGGCGGGGCTGGAGGTCGAGTAGGTCCACGAGGGCAAGGATGCGCATTCTTGCTCCCGGAATGCCGCCTCCTCCGCCTCTGTAAAGACCCAGAGGACATGGACCAGGGGTTTCCGGTGGCTGAACACGGGGAGGCCCCTGGGGGGCGGGGAGGCCGCCCCTCCTCCCTCCTGGCCCTGCCGTCCCACGGCTGGCAGCTCCTCTGCAGCCTTTGGGGACGACGGGTCAACCTGCGTGTCCCCTCAGGTTCTGCGAGCCTCTCTAGCCGACGGCCACGACATGCAGCCCGTTGGTCAGAAGCTGCAGGGGTCTGAATCAGGCACGGTGGCTCCTGCCTGTCATCCCAGCACTTTGGGAGGCCGAGGCTAGGACTGCCTGAACCGCGGGTTCAAGACCAGCCTGGGCCACCGGGTGAGACCTCGTCCCTACAATGAATTAAAAAATTAGCTGGGCATGGGGATGCACGCCTGTGGTTCCAGCTACTTGGAAGGCTGAGGCGGAAGGATCGCCTGAGCCCAGCAGGTCGAGGCTGGTGGCCATGAGCGTGCCACTGCACTCCAGCCTGGGCGACTGAGGGAGACTCCAACTTGAACAAAAAAAAGTTCTGGGGTTCTGGACTCCGACTGGCATCGGAAGTGGGGGCAGCTGAGTGGGGCTGAGTCCCTGACCTGTAGCCTCGGATGCCGCCTCCGAGTAAACGGCATCTGGGCTGAATCTGGGACGCGCCACTCTTGGCCAAAGCATGCTATCTGGAGGCCGGCACGGGGGCACCGACACGTCCACGAGCCAGGGCCGTGAGCCTGCCGGCTGTTCCTGGCCGTGCCACGAGGTGGCGGTGCCGACAAGGGAGAGGAGGCCTGAGCCGGCCGGTCGGGCAAGGACGGGCCCACCACAGACCCCGCTGGGAGGGGCAGACAAGCATGGGAGCGCCGCCTGCCTTCCACCCTCACGCTCCTGGGATCCCACCGGGGCTTGCTCTGCAGGAGGCAGGGGCTGGGGAGACCGGTCCTCCGCCCCAGGCCCCCCCAGCTCTGGCTGTGACCCTGTGGCCAGCACCAATTAAGCACACACTGTATGGGCGCGAGGTCCCTGGCAGTCTGCAGAGGCAGGAGCTGTTCCTACCCCAGCCAAGGCCCCCCCCCTCGGCCTCTCTCCTCCGCCCGCCTACCCTGCGAGGGATCCAGAAATCCGGTGCCTCGAGTCCTGTGGCTGCAGCAGCAAGTGACCGAGCAAGCGACTTAGGCTGTCTCAGGCCGTGGTTGGGTGTCTGGGAGGCCACGGCCAGGTTCTCAGTTCAGGATGTCACCAGGCTCAGACCGGGAATGGTGGCTCATGCCTGTAATCCCCACACTTCGGGAGGCCAAGGCAGAAGGATCGTTTAAGGCAGGCGGGGAGTTCAAAACCAGCCTGGGCACCATAGTGAGACCCTATCTCTACAAAACAACAGTAACAAAAACACAAGGCTCAAATAAACCGTCCACCCGCTGTGATCTCAGGGGCCTGGGATTCTCGCCCACACCCAGGCCCGCTGCCAGCAGGAGTCAGTACCCTGTAGCCATAGGATGGGGTGCCCGCAGCCAGGCACCCTCATCTCCTGGGGCTGCTCACCGACGTCCTCGCTCGAGGTCTCTCTGTGCTCAGCGAGACGGCCCTCCTCACCCCTGCCCTCCGCAGAACACCCTGCTGCTGAGGACTCATGGGTGAAACGGCGGACCCGGGTTGTCCAGGACAGTCTCCGCCTTACAGTCAACCGCGCCCAGTAACAGGACGGACTCTCAGGAGTGACATCATCCTTGCGGGGGGTGGGGTTCTCGAAATCCTGCCCCCCACCCTGTTCCCACCACCGCGGGCCCCACATCACAAAGCCCTGCCACGTCCCTCATGTGGCTCAGGCCACTCTGCGCGCAGCCTCAGGGCCACCGCGGCCGGCGGGGGGGCCGCTGCCAGCATCGTTCTCTCCTTGTCCCCTTCCCGTCCAAAAACCAAGACCACAAAGCTGCCCCTTCGCTCCCCAGGGGCCCCGGCGGATGAAGGGAACTCCGGCAAGATCCCTGGCGCCCGTGTCTCCCAGCCTGGCTCCGCAGGGGCCGGCCGTGCCGGGCGGGCAAGGAGCTCGCGGCGGGAGCTCCGACGGCGGCTGCGACCCCAGCCACCCTCCCCAGCCTGCCCTCCTTCCCACCTCACCCAGGAATTCCAGCCCCACCTCCCCGCCCTTCCCCAACCAGCAATCTCCTAGGAAGCAGCGCTAAGGTGGCTTCCTGGGTCCCAGCCCTTCGTGGCTGCAACTTTGGACATGATCCCCTGGGGAACACAGTCCGTTTTTTGCTTTGTCGTTGTTTTGGGGTTTTTCTGTTTTTTCGGGTTGGAGTCTCACTTCGTCACCCAGGCTGGAGTGCAGTGGCACGCTCACGGCCACCCCAGCGTCGACCTGCTGGGCTCCGCGATCCTTCCCCCTCAGCCTTCCAAGTAGCCGGAACAGGTGCCCACTACCACGCCCGGCTGATTTTTGATTTATTGTTGAGATGAGGTCTTGCCAAGTTGCCGGCGCGGGTCTCAAGCTTGAGGGCTCAGGCAATCCACTCACCTCAGCCTCCCAAAGTGCTGGGATTACACAGGCTGAGCCACTGAGCCCGGCTGGGGTTTTTGTTTTGTTTTGTCTTTTGGGTCTTGTTTTTTGGGTTTTTTTTGAGTCGGAGTCTCACTCCGCTGTCCAGACTGCAGCGCGGTGGCACGCACGTGGCCACCACAGCCGCGACCTGCTGGGCTCAGGTGACCCTTCTGCCTCAGCCTCCCAAGTAGCTGGAACTAACAGCCATGTGCCACCATGCCTGGCTGATGTCGTTTGCTGTTCTTTCTGGTTTTTTTTCTTTTTGAGTTGGAGTCTCACTCTGTCGCCCAGACTGGAGTCCAGTGGCTGCTCCCGGCCACCGCAGCCTCGACCCGCGGGA